AAAATTTTGGGATGGTTAAAAATATGCTAAAGCTAAACTTGTACATAATAAATATATACAAACATTTCTTTGTGAACACTTATGGATTAAACAAAGAGCCTAAACATCTTGGATTGTCAGATGGGTTAATGAACTTATATTTTTATATAATTCCATTAAAAAAAGAGGAATGCAAATAATATCAAAGAGCTATCTGCTCTCAATGGGGAAATAAACTATAAATGATTTGATATACGGTTATTCAATGTATTTAACGAGAAAATAAATGTTTATTTTAAGTGGACATTCTAATGATTCAATATAATTAGGGTTATTCACTTTTGCTTTTCTATTCACCATTGCTACATACGCTTTTCCCTATCTTTTAGAGAAAAGGAGTTCTGATGGTTATTTTCATCCAATTCTCAACAACTTTACTCTAATTATATTTCCCACATTCTTTTTGTAGATTACTTCTTGGTTATTGAAAAGGACGATGTAGGTACCACTAACTCCTTGAAAAATCTCTATATTTATTGGCTGCTGCTATGAGGGAGGAAGCAAGTTATATGCAAGAGTTTGAAGTTTGCTTTATTAATTCTATTAGAAACATTGAGGGGCTTGGACAGGCCTTGAGTTTAAATATTGGTAACTTTTCTTCAATTTTTTTTGAGTCTTCTCCTTAATATTGGTTGATTGCTTATTTATATTCTCTTTGTGGTGTATTAACTCTTACAAATCCATATGAGAATCTTCTACTATGAGAGTTTTTATGTTTTGGAAGCACTTAACATCCACAACATTAAGTATGAATAAAAGGTTCCCCTATTTTATTAGAAATAGTTCATCATTTTTCTTATTTCTAGATCCCTAGATTATTAGTAAGCCTTTTCTTGAATGTTTGGGCCTAAACTGTAATTATAATTCTTGAAATGGTATTTTTTATTAGATTTGAATGAGAATTTTACTCTTAATATGTCACAATAGAGAAAAAAGATTCATATAGTCAACCTCACGTAGTAGGATAAAAGGCTTGATGTTGTTGTTGCTCCTTATCAAGCTAAAGTCAGCTATATTATCAATAATTGGAATTGGAATTTGTCCAACTTTTTCGCTATTATTAACAATACGTGCTTTAATATAGGCTTCATTTAGGATAGCTTTTTTACTGCTTTATGAAGTAATTTTTTAGTACAAAAGTTTTTTAATTTAAAATTTTTATACTAGAAAGCTACTTCACAAGAAATTAAAGTTATCCCAAATGAAACCATAACTTTAAGAATTGTCATGGGGGGGGGGGGGGGGGG